ATTCATTTTTAAAATTTAAAAATAGTGTTTTCTTTGTTTATTTTTCATTGTCGTAGGAGAAAATTAGAATTATCATCACTAAATATTGACGAAAAAACGTATACTTTAAGACCATTAATAAATCTTTAATTAAAATTCTGAAAACAAGAAGAGAACTGTAGATGAAAATGTCTTTTAAGAAGTTAAAAGAGCGCAATTTTGAAAAAGCAATTGTTAGAATTGGAAAAATTGCAAAGCTTTTATTAACTAAATAATTTTTTACAATTTTCAATTTACTAATTAATTATTTTAATGACAAAGTAAGTGATAAAATATATGTAAAAGACGAAATGAATTTTTCTTGAAAATAACTTTTCTAAAACCAACTTAATTTTTCTCATAAAAAAGTAACTTTAATTATCGATGCCTATTTTTTATAATTGCACGTAACGAACAAAATAAAAAATGATGAATAGTGGCCACCTGTAGATTCATTCACTAATCTACTCTCGCTAAGCAAACAGCTCAACGACCCTATTATTATCGTTGACGTTGTAAGTAGCGCCCGTATGCTTGTTTTTTATTTAGTTCTTTATTTATTTATGTTGGTCTTCTTTTAGCATCGATATTTATTGCTTGTAAAAGTCTTGCTGTCTCTCTTGCGCTTACTAGTAATTCTCTTGTTAAACGTTTAATGTAAGACCTTTCATCATTTAAGTTGGTGAACATGCTGATTAAATGGATCATTTTCACGTCACTCTTCACCACATTGATTTTCGATTTCTTAACAGTTTGTGGCAATTATCTTTTAACGGACGTTTAAGCACGTGAACCACCTGCTCTAAAAAGAACCAAGAATAATAATTATTCAAATTTTGTTTGTGTGTATTTAGTCTCGGTCTCGTTCCCGGTTTTTCTTATTCTTCGTTTCTTCTTTTTATCTTTTTTATTAATTAGTTAAATATGAGATAAATTATTAGTATGTGGATATGAAAGATGGTTATATTGAAAAGTTAAACGTATAATTAATGATACGTTGATCGTTTGTTATACATCGCGTTCTGTTCATGCACCTGGTTGTTATTTTGTACAAAATCACGATCAGTATGAGGTTTTATCGCTTGGGTAAAGTGTAATCTACCTGTGAGGTCGGAGAATTAACGAGTGGATGCCTCTATGATGTGGATGCTGGATCCTGGATATGGATATAGTGGTTCCGAGTCTCACTTTTTGTTCTTTTTTTTTTTTTTTTTTTTTAATTTTATGGATTCACAATGTAGTGAAATATTTAGCCATTCTTTAATGAAATTTTACCTGTAATTTGTGGCTTTAAAAATGTCACTACGCGACAGACAATCATAATCAGCAATTAATGAATTAAAATTTAAAGTTTCTTTTTAAAGATTGATTACTTAGATATTCTGATAAACTTGTAGATTTTATTATCACACGTAAGGCTTATGAATTTATAAATAATTAGCAGTTAGTTTATTTATTAAATTGTCGAGGGCAATATGTTTGAAACCAGCGGTTCTGAAAAATTTTACTGGTATCAAGACATCTTTTATTAACTTATTATCGTTATATTGAGATTTGAGATATCAATTATATAAATTTAAATTTACAATATTAAAATTTTTTTTTATTTTTATTTTATTAAATTTCTATTTATTTTTTTTAAGTATTTGTCGTAATTCTCTGTATTTTAAAAAGAAAATTTATCTTACACACATTAGAAATCTTGTTAAAAAAAAATTGTAGTTTTAAAGAATTAAAAAACACGTTTTAAGGTAGTTCCAGCATAAAACCACTTTTCGACAGATTCGGCTGAAATTTTTTTTACGGGTTCAGAATAACTTTATTGATAAATTCCTAAAATTTCATAATTTTTGACCGTTTAGATCGCGAGATATTTAAAGTCAAAGTTGGCGATTTTGAGGGTCATGTTCCATATAAAGTATGTAAAATGTCCGGTCTCTCCAACTATTTTATATTATATTAAAAAATTCTCTCGACAGTATTGGAAAAAAAAATTAGGAACAATTTATAGTGATCCGGCAACATCGTGCGCATCGCTCCCTGTAATAGTGTAGCATAAAAAGCTGGAAATTCAAATCTTTCACGGTTTTCAAGAGCAATGTTGCCAGATCACTAGAACTAACAATATGTAATTGTATATGTGAACGCCTGTGCCGAGGCTTTTAAATTTTTGTCTATAGTAAATGCTCTGATTATACTATACCACGCTGGAACTACGTTAATAGCAAACTCAAACTACAAAGTTGAAATCAATTTTGAATCATTTTAAATAAGATTAAAATAAGGAGTGATTAACAAAAAATTTATTTTATTAAAAAAAAAAAAAAGCGGGGTTGCTACCAATAAAAAATTTTTCATTTTTTAAGTGACAGATGTAGTCTTATTTCTCAGCAATTCGTATAACTAAATTAACGAAAAATTTTTCTAATCTAAAAATTGAATTAAATATTTTTTTCTCACCTCCGGGCGGAAAGCGTCAATTTTCCTCCCGCTAAACTAAACGAAAATGCCGCTTTCCGCCTCCGTCGAGGAGAAAAATAGTATACACACCACGGGCAGTAAATAAGAAAGCCTCAGATCACATGTTTATTGACCTCGGCTTCGCCTCGGACAACAATTACATGTGATCTGAGACATTTCTTATTTTACTGCCCTAGATGTGTAATATACTATTTAAGTAGAAAATTACAAACTTTTCAAAATTTTTTCATCAAAAAGACGATTCGTAAATTTTGAATGATTATTTCTGTTTAATATGACAAATATAATCTTTCATTTCGATGGAAAAAATTTCTCCAATATCACACTATAAAAAATCTTTCCCTTCAAAATTAAAAAAATTCTTCATAATTTCTCCCAAATAAAAAATAACTAACTTCATTAAAAATTCCTAGCAAAGAAAATTTGTCAATTAACTCCCTGTATTAATAATAAAGAAAACTTCATTAAATTAAAATTTTAAGTTAATCAGACATTTTAAAGTTGATAAAAATGTCGTTAAAAGATTTACATTGATGGATAAATACATGCAGGTCAAGCTAATAATAAAAGCGTGTTAATTAATTATTTTCAAAAGAAAAATATTAATATATTATTTTTAATATTTTACTAAAAATATTTTGAATCAAAATTTTGGTAAAATCTTTTTTTTTAATTTCAGCATAAAAATTTATAAAAAAAAAAAAGTTGAAAGATTAAAGGTACAGTTGTCTGTTTGCAAATAATATAATAGAATATAATTTATTGCAAGATAATATTGATATGATAAGATTGATTAGACCACCAGTAAATTTTGGGCTTAATAGCTGTAATTACCTTGTTGAATTTAAAAGTTGAACACGCCTGTTTAACTTTTGGTGGATGAGTAATAATACTTTTAATGCCGTTGGGCAGTTTGTTGCGGTTGTTGTTAGCGATTATACCTTAAATCAAATACTAAACTAACAGTATTGACGGATGTTGAAACAAACCCTTCAGCAGTGCTACTTATCTTCAAATTTGCTACTTTATTAAATATATTTTATTCTTATTATAAAATAAAAAATAAAATACATAATAAAAATGTGATGATAAAATAGTAAATTGATACGGAGTTTAGTTAAGTGTAAATAAATAATATAAATAAAAGGAGTTATTTATCGTCGCGTATAAGTCAAGAGGAGATCTCGAGGTAGATATTCCGATGGGTGCTCGTATGTGTACGTATAAAATACTTTATATAAGTAGTATGGAGTAAGAATAATGGCTACAAAATATGGTTGAATTTTCAATGGGTATATTTAAAACGACTCGTCCACCGCCACCAAGTCGGTAGTAATTATAGCTGCATTATTATAACGTCACCGGTAATACATCAACTCTTTATATATTTTTTTTAAATGCCGTCATACATATGCAATGGTCAGTTCCCTGTCTGCTTACTTATACTTGTATTGCTTAACTTGTCCTATGTTGTGTTGTGTACGTTGTTTATAACATCCAGTATGTATTTTTAAGCCTACGTATTAATTTATAAACGTTTGCTTTTGTTTTATGCCCAAGATAAAAATTCTGTTTGTTTTTAAGGGGAGGCTTATATTTTTTTTTTCTTTTTTTTAGACAGCAATTAATTTATTTGCATTTAATTTTTTGAGAAATTGATTTTTGAGATAAAAATGAACTAATTTCAATAATTTATCAATTACTCAAAACTTTATATAAAAAAAAATTTAATAATAAATATAGAGGGTGGATCATTATTTGTTTTTACATATTAATGCCTTTAACCAGCAATCAATAATTTACAATCCATAATTGTGTGGTACATTTATACATATATTCATATAAGAAGTGTTTCGAGTATAGAGGAGGCTCGTGTAAACGATAAATCATGATAAATACGTTTGCCACAGCCATTATACAAGAAAATGTAAAGGTGTGGGAGCAAGAGGCTGAATGAAAAAAAATCGAATATGAATAAAATAAAATAAAAAACAAAGTAAAAAAAAAAAAATAATAAAAAAGGATGATCAGCGAGGGAGTAGTGGACCAACGTGGACCGGGAACTACAAGATGCATTCTCTCCCCGGGGCCACTATTCAGTATCCGCCTGCGTGCGCATTACGATCGCTTAAGTCTCGACTCAGCTATCGAGTGATCCATCGCCAAAGATTCTTCGAAATAACCGGCGCCGTAATCTCTTTTATCTCCCTCCCTCACCCACATCTCTCTATTCTTGTTGTCCTTTTATTGTTATTTTTACCGGAGTTTATTAGTACTAACGAGGAACTTTAATCGTGTATTAAACAGAGAGAGTGAGAGATCGATCCAATTGAAAATTTAAAAACCGGTATTTTAATTTATCATTAAAATTTATTGTATTTTTTTTTTATTTTTACAGGTGAGATACTAATAAAAATTTAAAACACGTGGGAGGTAAAATATAAACAACTTGGACCCAGTTGGAGATTAAATAATTACCTATACCTAATTATAATAATTATTTAAAAATAATAAAAAGTACTTACCTCACTGTCGATTTTTTTGAACTCGATATCGTCCTCGTCGACCTCAAAGTACAGCTCCGTGGATGTTATGGAAATTATTCCTGGTGCTACGATTCCTGGAGCTATTATTTTCCCTTTGGTGCTGATGTTTATTGGTCCTGAAGAAAAATTTATATTAGTTAATTAATCTCAACTAGCAACCTACAGTCACTAAATGACTACCGAGAATTACAAATTATGAATAAAATAACTTTGATTTAGTGATTTTTTATATTCTTAGTTATAATATACATTGTTTAAGTATTTTTTAAATAAATTTTAAAAATAATATTGCTATGACAGGATCAATTACTAATAATTTAATGGACAAATGTTACGGATAAAAACTTATAGAACTAACAAAGTATTCAAAACTCTTCCAAAAACTTGACATAAACAAAAGACTGTCACCGAAAAAATATCAAACCAAGAAAAGCCATCAATTTAGGTTACGACATTTTTGATATTACTATATTTAACTATAAAAATTTCTTATAAAATCAGCAAAATTTCTTACAAAATTAGCCCGTTTCATAAAATTTTACTTATTTTTTTAATTATATGAATTAAAAGGAAGTCCTTTGCTCCAGTTCAGTCACAACAACTGTAGTAGTCAATATTCGATAAATTAAAATAAAAAACCCATAAAAATTCCTAAAATAAAAAATTAAATAGTATATAAGGCATTAATCGTTGAAATTTTGAAAATTAAAAAAAAAAATAGTTAAATACAAAAATTAATTTGACTCTTGTAAATCAGCTGTTAGTAACCTGTCCGTGATTTGGCAACGCTATATTTCGGTGTTTTTTACATTTTCATTTGCACAATATAACCTTAACCATGTTTAAGTCTTTGCAGTCAGTGTAAATAAATAAATTAATTAAAAATGGACTCGTTCAAGTTTACTAAGCTCTTGACAGATTTGAGCAGATCTTGTACAAAAAATTAAAAGTGACTACATTCTCTCTAAAGAATATCAATAAGAAAACAATGCAAGGTATACTAATCTAAGCTCAGTCCCGCTAAGTACTTAGTAAACTTGAACGAGCCCATTCTAATGCCTCATGGCAAGAATGTTAGTATTTTTTAATTATTGTTTTATTTTTTAATTATGAAATATGAAAATTTGTTAACAATAAATTAACTAATAAGAATAAATGAAAAACATAAGCGCGTTAAAGTTTAGTTTGAATTTCTTGAATGGTCTGAAGCTCGCGCGCTACACAACGTTGCCAAATGTTCTGACGCCATTTAAATATAGGTTACTTAAAAATTTTCTGTGATTTTATAATTTTAATTTCTCCATAAATTCCACGGCAACCTATATATTTTATTGCAAAAAATAAAACCTGAATATTTTGAAAACCTTATTTTGAATTTTTTTTTTACCCCATCTAATCGGTGGTTAATGCCATAATTCGAGAAAGTTGTTAAGGTCTGACTTTCTCGTAAGACTCGGAAAAAATACTAACATTTTTAGAAATTTTTTTTTCAAAAATTTCCACGGTGAAGAATAAATTAAACTTCACTAGTAGATAAATAAGGACTTTAACTATCAAATAAAAAGTAATTTTATGCATAATCTAATATTTTTTATTTAACATTGATGGCGAAAGGACCTCCTTAATATATGACATACAATGATATTGACATCTATAAAACAAAATGAATAAATAAACAAATTTTATCTAGCGCGAAATTCGGGACTATTTACAAGTACTCTTATCATAATAAATCAACTATTTGTATTAGCTATTAAATTTAGCTATAAAAAAAAAATAAAAAAAAAAAAAAA